TACTGTATAAGTGGTGAGGGAGAAGGCGATAGTGTATAAAGGATATAAGCAACAGCTCGATGTAAAAGGTTCTGAAAAAGTGTAAGCTGAGGATGAGTGTTGATATAAGTGAGGAACAGTTTGAATGGGCTCCTTGAGAAAGATGAAAATGCTGCCAAAATAGCCTGATGTGTTGCCATATGATTTGTATCCAGCACTAATACCAACAATCGCATTAGTGGACACCATGCATCGCTGCATATCTTTATATTGCCATCTCCTATCTACAAACAAATATACTTGAATATGAATGCTAATACAAGAATTAATTTTTCAAAACAAAGAAAAAAGCACATATTATCTCACTGTTAGAATTAGTAGGGATGCAAATCAGCATAAAGTTAAGGTTATATATGCGGTTTTCACAGCTTTCGCAGCATTTCAAAGAATGAAAGCGTTTTTAATGCCGGTAATTTTTTCTAGTGAACTAGTAGCAGAAATAGAGATAATATATATAATAATAGTGTATGAAAATAACAAAAAAAAAAAAAAAAAAAACCTATTTGAAGTAACCACTCACAAAAAAAACAAAAAACGTTCTTAATAATATGTTCCATATGAATGCTTATCTGCGCAATACCTTAAGAGAATCAATTACTGCACTGACAATCCGATCAGCTGAGGCAGCAACGATTGTCTCAACTACGTGACCTGCATCAGGCTGCCAAACCGTGGTACCGTTTAATTCGTTTTCCGCAACTGGAACACCACCATTCCATTGAGCTTGAATACCACGATCTTCCATCCCCAACTGATGACTGGGACTGAAAATTAGAAAATTATTAAATGGAGCTACTTTTCAGAGAAACTTGGATACAATGAGTTTCTCGAAAAACTAGTCCATGGAGTTTTGAAAAGATAATATTAAGTCATACGTTTTTCCATTGTAAGCTTTTGACCTGTGTTGGGACCCTCTACATATACTAAAAACTCACCACGAACAAATTAAAGCACCGTAGTGTGTTGGGCGCTATATCTTCTATATCAATATATCACAGTGTCTAAAGAAAAAAAAAATGCAAACCAATTAGGGATAAAATTAGTTTCCAAAAGGGTAATCAAAATAGCGGCGGCACTGACAATAACAGAATCACGGCGCTGCTCCACATTGTCAGGTAACATACGACTCATTAAATGCCGCACATTCCGTTCCGACTGCAAACTCTCCAACAAAGAATCATTCCGCTTGCATTCTGCGGTATATTGCATATCACGTAACATACGCACCAGTTCGCTCCATAAATGACCAACGTTATCATGAACCTAAAATGGTTAAACACACACAGCTTTTAAGTATACATTAGAGTTAAGCAATTAATGATTAATGTTAACTATATCAATTCGAGAAATGGAGCCGATAAATACTACAGTTATAGCTGAAGAAATCACTTTTTTTTTTCATTTATTATTTTTCTTCGCTCCGATACTAGAAGTTGCGAGAATTTTAGATAATTTTGAAACAGTAATAAAACATACAACAGGTAGTTGTTCAGGAACAAGAAGATCGCAGAGATTTTCTACCATTCGACTTTCCGCACACCACTGAAATATACCAACTTTCTTTAACATTCAAAAACAAAAAAACTTGCCGATGCCAGCATAATTCTGCAGGATGTGAGCAGAGCAACAGGACACAATTACAAAATTAGTTTATCGATACCTGCTTAATATGATCCTGTTCCTCGACATTTGATAGGCCACTAACGATACGGTACAACAGTTCCATAACAGCCGAATGATTCATATTTCTCATACAATGAATCAAAAACTGACTTTCCTTCATTCGGGGAAATACCTAAAATCTTTGTCTAGCACTTTTTCCGATAAAATATACAAATAAAGCAAACACGAAAAGTTTTAATTATTGACTAATTAGAAATTATATCCTAAAAATCAGTAAGCAAAATCTATTCCCAAGTAGAGATGTAACGGCAGTTAAATCTTGTCAAAAATCAATCCGCTACTTAACTCACCCATAGCTGAGTAGCTTTCATTGTTTGATTCCCACCACAAAATATAAAAAAAATCCTGAAGGATTCCTAAAACCAAACTAACTAAAGGCTAAAAGACTTATTAACTTCATTCCCAGAAAGATAACTTACTTTACGCAAAATTAATCCCACATTATAATAAATTGATATTTGGTAGAAAAAAGTAAATGAAGTAAATGCATACCTGATCAGGGAATCTACTAATAATTTGTGAGAATATTTTCATATAAAAATTGACAATGACATGGTTTAACTTCCTGCTATCCAGGAAATCAAAAAGTAAATTGCATGCCTCTTCGTTATTAATAACTGCCCTACTAAGCTCTTCATTATTTATCGATAAGATCTCGGCGCACAAGTGAGCTTTTCTGTAAGTAGAAATCACTAACTGCAGATCTGGATCTTTCCAACAACATAACTGATATTAAATCGCTAAATGATAAAGTTCAGCGAACGTGAGGAAAGACAACAAAAATGTACTTGTACTGTTCTTTCAGTGGTAAGCTTTCATCGATTTCTGGCTCTAATGCACCTTTGATCATTTGTGCTATTACTTCTTGTCTTGTTAAACTGCAATACACGGACTGTTTACGAAGTTCATAAAAATTGAAGGCTTTTCCTAGGTCCCGTTACTGCCGTTAGTACTGCCAGATATGATATCATTAAAAAGCATCCATATGATGGATATGGTTCATACTACCATGTCACTAAGTTATAGTACTATTATGAAAATGAAAAAATTCGCAGGCAGCTTTAAAGTTTGTGTTTTAAAATATCTCTGGCATTTACGGAATCGAATCACCAACAGTTTACGCTCGAATATGATAATGTGATGGATAATACAGTTTACGATCGAATATGTAATATGCTGGATAATACCATGCAAACATCCACCAAATCATCACCGCAAAACAAGTGATGTCGAAAAACCAGAAAATCTATTACTAGACAATACAAGTAATGGTGGAAATCTCATGCAATTAGCAACCAAACAGTGAAGACTAAAAGGGTGAATTCGAACGTACAAATTAATAAGCTGATGATTGCCATTGCGAATTTCTTGTATCGCATAATCATCTTCCAACACATTTGCTAATGTTGCGGTATTATTCTTCAATAACTCATCTAGTTTAGTCACAGAAGCTGCTAGATCGCTCGACCAGAACATATCCTGGAACATTTTTTTAGCACTTATTAATTTGGAATGCACTAATTCAGTCACTAGCAAAATGATGCACATCACATTATATTTGTAGTTAATTTAATCTAATAATAATAATAATATTGATTCCTCAGAAATTCATGTAATTTACTTATAGAAGTTGCCAGATCGCCCAACCACTACATCGGGTTCAATTTACTTAGGGTTATCCAGATGCTGATCGACACTTAATTTTTAATTAAGAGTTATTCAGGTTTTTACAATTCAACACAGTATTTGTTCACAAGTGATTTCAAGCCTCGGTTTCCTACTTCCATTTGCACAGAAGTTCCTTACATTCAAAGGGAAAATGAAGTTAGAGCATGCCATATGGTGACGTTCTTTCTACAGAGTAACTGTATAAAATTGTAGCATTATTTTCTTAAATGAATCTCTGATGTCTTTCTCAAATAAAAGCCATTCACTTTCTCTTTCAGGGATCGAATTCACTCTGTCTTCTTTTCAATCACACATATAAAGGTTTAAAGCAAAGTCCTCAGCAACTTCAACTCCTAATTACAATGTTAATTTGCTAAATATATTTCCCGCAGTTTCACTCTTGTTTTAATCCTTGTCACACAGTAAAATTCTAAAGTTAGGTTCTGTTTAATCTACTTTTTGACCTCTTTAGAAAGTCCTACGTTCTCGAAAAAGACAAGTCAGACTTGAATCACTCCTTCCGGTGCTAATACTAACAGTTCGTTCGAGACGTTAACCCTTTGTTAACATTACTGTTCTTCCATGTTCAGTGATTTTTGGATTCTAACGAGTTTTACGAATTCATATAAAGAATGACTGGTTGTCTTCTACAATAATTTCAAAGAATCGTAATGCTTGGAAATGGTTTTATTTGATCGTAAAGACAGCTCAAGAATGATAGCACTTCAAAGAGGCCATGAAAAGAACGAGAGCGGAAGTGGGGAGGAATTGGATAAATTGAAATTTTAAAGATAGCTCTAAAATTGATTTTAAAGATAGCTCTAAAACAATAAAGACCATAGTTCTAGAAAATAATCCATCCAAGAATTCCTTGCCCAAAGTGGAATAATTCCGCGATGCTTTCACCAACTTACCTATTTCGTGCCACCCAAACCTGCCATCGAAGAAAACCCCAACCCCCTCGAATTCAAACTACCCCGCCGTAAAAACCCATTTCATTATTGGTGGCATGCAACGAATATGTAGCGGCTTGATTCACTGGTGAAGTGACATCTGAACGAATGCGGTCGAGGTTTGGTTGGCAGAGCCTTTTGTTTTTCTTTTCTCAATGGAAATTTAGCACATTCTTTATCGTTTATCCTTCATCGGTAGAAGATTCGAAGTTTAAAACAACTTGTTTTGGTTTTTGATCGTGATTTTTTATTTTATTTCACTTGAAAAACTGAAATAAAATTTTAAAAAGTAGGAAAGCTTTATTTCAGTTATTTTATGATAAAAATAGGACGACTGGTAATAATTTTCTAAATATTTTTATGTTTTACTGTAAAAATATTTAGAAAAAAAAAACTCTCCTTCGACGTTTAACACCTCCACATGTTTGATCTTCACAATAAATTGCCGTAAAATATGGGGAAGTGATGGTTTTATACTTTAAACAAGAAGTCGTGATAACCTTAAATCATGGCGTCATTTCATGATCCTTAAATCCATAAACTTCAACCAGTCTAGTGACGAATATTCTTGTTTGCTGACTTTATTCCTTCAAAAACGAAGAACTGGCCTGTTTTCTTAAATTCACTTGATTTATTCTTGTTTATTTTCAGGCCAGAATGAGTTCGGAAGAAGATAGTGACGAGATTTACGATGAAATTGATCGTCATCATATGTCACTTGATATATCTGATAATGAGAAAGGATATCCTGTGACTCGTAAACATGTGGAGGTGTTAAACGTCGAAGGAGATTCATCTAATGATGATGACAATGAAGAAGACAGTAATCCTTTCTCGGATACTGATGAAGACGGTGTAAACAACGTCGAGAAGTGTAAGTCTTCATGATCTTCAGTGTAGCTAGCTAGATCTTTTTTTTTTTCTCCGCATTTCTTGCATTAACGGCCTGAATGTTAAAGGATGTTAGCATTTTCATATGAACGGAATATTATCTGTAAACGATACCAGGAGTCAGGTTTATTACAAAAATGTTTGGTAACCTAATCTAAGTTGAATTTAAAGAAAGAAGAGGAATTCGAGGAGTAAAGTAGTCATATGTGGAGTTTACTGGTGAGCTAGTTACTAATTTGGATAGGGTGCTAATCACTAATTGGTTTTCGAAATAATTATGGACAGGAAACGAGAACTTATATTTTCAGTCTTACCTTCGGCGGATAAATGGGGCAATGGTCGGAGAAGTTTCTACAACACTTCGTATGTTGACGAAGACTGGGGTGGCATGAATGAAACGGAAGCGGAATTAGCCGAATTGGAAGAGGAAGACGCTATTGCAAGGCAAAAGAAACTAGATGCTGCTCTTGGCCTTTTGCCCATGCAGTTGCAGGTTTGTACCAGAGAGCAGGATCAAAATCTAGGTAGGTTAACGTGATTATATTGCTGACAATATTTTCAGGATGAGCTGCAGGAAGAGGAAACCACTCATGATTTGAACGAGCTCCCAGATATCAAAAGCATGACTGCAGAACAGCGACATGAATACTTTTTAAAAGTTAATCCTGATTTGGAGCAGATATTTAACGAGTACCAAGCAAAAGTAAGATTTCCTTGAGTGGAACAATCAGAAAATCTGAACGACTTTGTATACAAGAGCTTAGAAGACAAAAGAATCGTTTTAATAAATCACAGAAACCTGCATATTAGTTACCTATTAGTTACATTATTCGCATTTCCAAAAAAAAGAACAATTTATAAGAACATGTTAAGATATTTTAAAGGCCCTTCAAGAAGCCTCTTTTTATTTTAACTAGCTTATAGTACTGGTTGGCCATTTCAATACTCGAAACTTGTTTTTGTTTCTTTTGATCTAATTATTTTCGTCATTTTCAGAGAGCATATTTCTTTACGGACGTTCTTCCTCTCTTGGATTTAGCTCATTCACTAAAACATGTTCGACCAGGCTTAATGTTAGAAAAGCAACTAGTTCTTGCAATCAACGTATTTTCAAGGTAATATTTTGCTATTTTAGGCTGTTATACTCTATTTAAGAAGCACATACCATTTTATGTTCTTGTTAGTTTGAATTTCTGCTGTTACTGTTATTTTCATAGAGATTAAAAGTTTGAAAGAAAATTCATAAAATTAGGAATATCAGTTGCTTTATCGACTCCATCGATAAATTGTGTTATATGAATTGTTTTTGTATTTTACACTTTATTAGTAGGTGAAAAAAGAAAACCTTCCGAAACGTAAAAAAACTTTTCATTCACTTTTGGTTTCCGTAAGAATGAGAACATTCTAAAATGATTCGCTGTCTTGCTCGTTGCAATTTACATAATTGATTAAAAATAACTGCAATTTAGAAACATGAGAATAATTTTTTCTAGAATTTGGACTTCTTGGATAAGCGGTAAGGTTAAAAAAAGGGAACAAACCCGTTTCAAGCCATGTTTTTCAGATACCTGACCAATTTGTTATTTGCATTTCATATAAAAATAGTCGGAAGTTCATATCAGGAAGCTCCTAAATTTATTGGCCATCCTGTTCTGCAGGCTCTTTTAACTTTTCAGAAAGTAAGTCTTTTTATGTTACGCCTTTTTATAACAATCAAGATAATACTAGGTAGCATCTATTGGATTAGATATTTGAACTGTATACGGGGGAATCTTTATGTTATCGAGTAATATCTGCCTGGAACTATAATTATTAGTTCTTGTTCTTCGCTTTTATGATTTTTTAAGTGACATTATATTTCTTTTAAGCTCTTTAAATATCATAGGAAGTGTTCGCTGTTATGCATTTCCTTGAAAAACACAGTGCCATTCTGCAAACGATAAGAAATAATCTTAAATCGAGGGATTTCGAGAATATATTGGATACATTTGCAACAGTAGAGTTTGTACAGAAGTCAAGAATTTCTAAGACAGATAAGAGAAATGAACAGTTACGAATCGAAGATGATAGAATGGATCGTGAAGTTCGAATTGTGAATGACGAAATAAACGAAGGAACTATGAAACGTTCAATAACCAACCAAGTCAGTTCTTTGATGCATATGCAGAATCCCGGAATTTTTTTTTTTTGATAGTGCAACAAATACTAAGCTATTTTTAATATTTAGATTCATATTACATTGAAAATGATACAACTGCTTTTTTCGCTTTGAAGATTTAAAGCAAATAACTTTTTATAAATTTCAGAAAGCTTTAGTAGTCACTAATTTGACAACTAATGGAAAATATTAGGTGTTTTGGTTTACTTCATTTACTTTGCGGTGCATTTAGATTGAGAAGAATAGAGGTTTGCAAAATAAGCGGAAGAAAGGAACACATCATTCAAGAGTCAAAAAGAGGAAGCAGTTCAAGAAAGCATTAATAAAAAAACACTCGCAAAAGGCTGATGCGCGGAGGGAATTAACTCCATACGGTGGTGAAACTCGAGGAATCAGAGCATCAGCCGTGAGAAGCGTTAAACTAAAAGCTTAGAGAAGAACGTGTATACTCTTGTTGTTTCATATTAAATAGCCCTTCACATTATTGTCATAACTTATGGACAACTGGTACTTCATACTGCTCTGGCAGTACTAGTTCTCATCAAGTTATGCCAATAAATGTGACGGGCATAACTTCTGGAGAAGTAAGCTTCACCTCAAGGTCTCGTTATAGTGTCTTGCTCCTCTTTATATTTGTAGTGACCAAGGTTTTCTTTTGCGGAAGAATGACCGATGAATTGAAATCAGTTTGAATGGCTTTTGTGTCCAGAAGTAACTCTAGAAGTAACCTTAACCAAGCATATTTAAGCTCAAAATTACTAGAGTATGAAAATTCAACGAACCATCTTTTTCTCTTTCATCAAAGGTTGAACTTATCTTCTGCCTATGTAATCTCCATTGATCTGAAAGATGTCGATATTTTACAAATTTATTCTGTTATTAAAAAAAATGACGAAGACATAATCAGAAATATTCCATATTCAATACTTATTTCAAAGGACAAGAAACAAATGAAAATGCACGACAGATAATCAGGAATAGCGAGCTGGAACGGATTAGCGGAAAAATTGTAATATGGGCTCCACTATCTTTCGAGGAACTTCAAAAGATGAGCTGAATCATTAACTTGGTGGAGTCCACACATTAAGGCTACTGCATATGTAAGTGAACGATATATTTAGACTAAGATAACTGCTCGAGAAATAAGGCATCACAATAATATAAATATATGAGCAAACAAATCGTACTATTTTTCATGACATTAATGAAGTACAAAAAAAAAAAAAAAAAACATGTCAGGTTGAATCTCAATGTCCTGCAGCATATTATTAAAATGACTGAAGACTTGAAAAACAAGCAGTAAAAAAACTAGCTTCCAGTATCAACTCGAGGAATATCCGCAAAGCTTGTGTACTGGCAGTCACTTAATAAAAAGTGGTAACCTTATCAAACAAACTTTGATACGAACTTTGGTACGAATAAGTACAGAAATATACAACCGAAATGAAGGAAAAACAGCAAAGGGGATAACAGTAGACAACAACAATGCCTCAAACATCGAAACACCACTTGTCACAACAATATATTGAATTGCACAGTGCTTCATTCACAGGATGGGCATGACTACAGAGTAAAACTGTAGATAGTTTTGGAGTGAAGTACGATTAACTACGCTTCCCCTCTTTACGAAACTAAAACAATAAGGTTGAGCAACTGTCCCCACTTCATATGCAATACAACGTTTCATAATTTTATAGAACCAGTGATCTTTTAATCTACACATATGAACCACATATACAGCCAAACGACACATCTTCGCAATAAATCATTTCATTAAGCCAATTATAACTCTAAAATAAATAGGACGTCCAAGTCATAAGTGATTACATAAGAGGAGCTATTGATCAGTTCTCGCCAATTCAACTCCATTATACATTGTCCAGGAAATTTTCAATCTCGAAAATAAATCAGTCCATAGAAGGACAGTGATGATTGAAGGAAGTCCAAAAAAAGCGAACTGAATAGTTCACTTGGAGAGTTTTGATATTACACGTATTAATGCTCCATTCTCTTCCTTTAATTTTTGGTTGTCCGCGCGTAGATGCTCCAACTGCTGTAAGTCACATATTTAATAAATCTTTTTGGTAAAGATCCTTTGTTGAAATTATAAGTTATTCAAAAAATGACTTTCAAATACGATATCAGTAATAGCATGTGCAGTAACAAAATTATTTGCAAAACAAATTCGTAAAGCTCAAATTCGTAAACCAAGACAACCAAATACCGAATGTCAATTGGCTTATATTGTCATTCCAAACATGTTTTTCATGTTACAGTTTGCTTCAATCTGGCTTCTTACATTCATCAACTATTTCAGAAATAAATGTCTACTTTCCTCACAACGAAGTTAAAATGCCTCGAATTATTATAAGGAATAATTAATCAGAAGGATTCAAAAAATAAATACATCGAAGAGTGAGAAGACAGACTTTATAAAACATTATTAATAGACTTGACTATTATTAATTACCCGAAATACTGCATTAGATTCACCGCATATCAGAACATAGCCATTATTTATAATACTATTTAGAATGTTAGATCGAGATACAACTAACTAATCCAGAAATTCTTTAAAGCGACTCTGATGCTGCTCAGTCAAACGTCATATGAATATTTATAAAAAAAGGTGAATATCCTCAAAAATTGAAAAAAGCCATTCTGCACAAGAATATTTAAAATTAATCTCGAAAAATGCTGATGATAATCCTCACCCTTCAAGTGCCTGCTGCCATTTTTAAACTACCCTTATTATAATCCCATCATATTTCGGACTTTCATGACAATTCCGGCATCATTTATGGAATCGAAAATTTTCATCCCATATGTCTAGATTTATGTTTGGTGTTTTAATATGATTGTAGATTCACAAATGAGTAAAATGGCTAAGGTTATGAAAAGCGAGAAGGTAGTAGTAATAGAAATAATAGCAGCATTGTTAGCCAAGTGCAACCCAAGCTAACACTACCGAGGCCAAGTTGGTGTACTTTGCTGACGGCTCATTTTAGATAACACACGAATCAATGCTTCGTTTTCCACTCGTAGCGAATCATTGTTTTTCTCCAGCTTTTTCAATTCCTAAGTTAATACGAACTTGCTTTTAATACGTTAGCAGTAAAAAAAGGTTTTCGAAAAAGCTTGAAAGAAGTTGAACATCCAATTCTTCAAAGGATTTAAAGGAAGTTCAACATTCATTCAGTTATTCATGAACCTTCCATCTATTCTGTACCTTACACTTTTTTGCTGACATTCCTACTAAATTTTATTGCCATTACTAAAAAAGAAATCCTTTGCATTCAAAACGCACACCATAAAATAAAAATATATGGGGCGAGACTCATTATTTCTAGCTTCACGCTCTTCACCAAAACAAAAAAAATTACATGACTTAAATATATGAAAAAAGTAAGCAAGTAAAATGGAAGCATCTCACAGATAAATATGTATGTTCCTATTCTTATAACAGGAATTTTCAAGTCTTTTTATGGATAAAATGAATTATAATTAGAGAAAAGAACTTCAAAATGACCTCAATTTCATACTGCATTTCGGCAATTCGTTGTTCATAACTATGTCGTTCACGTTCGTTCATTGATGCTGATGATGAAGACTTATTAAGCGATGGTAGTGATGTAAGCCGTCCTCCAATATTACATTTCAGTAGTGGAATGCTATTTACTGAATTCGATTTCTAAATATTCAACAATGCAAACAATATCAAACTAAAACTACACACAAAAAAAGTTACTTATGCTTTATAGCAGCAGTCATTTTAGTTTACTCATTGTTTATGGTTAAACAAGTCCAAAGTTTTCTCAAACGATATCTGAATGTGGATAAAAAAGTATTTATGTTTTGAGGTAAAGGATTAGAGAAGTAATAACATAAATGAAAATTTCAATGCGAATGAGATACAGGAAATGGGAGTGGAGCAGCTCAAAACAAAAATAAAGAGGTAAAAAAAAAAAACTTAAATCCTCACTAAACATGCATGTTTATAAAAAAAATCCATATATATATATATATATATATATATATTTGTATCACTTATAATAGAAATAAAATAACCTCTAATGATAATTCTTCAATTCGGTGACGTAGTCTTTCCGTTTCTTGTTTTTCCTTTTCATATAGTGCTTTGTAATCCACAGTTGTCTCCTGGCACTTCGTTCTGCTACTAAGCATTTGAAATGTTGTTGTAGGTGTTCCTCCACCGATATGTATTGAATTAGTCTATAACAAGTTGGATACAAATTTTGAAAGACATAAACAGATAAAATGAAACAATTTCTCGTCCTTTAAGCTGTGGTTAATTAATACATTTGTATTGATGGAGAAATCAGTTGTGATCTACTCTTTTTTGCACTCGTAGAGAAAAGTGGGGAAACATGGAACCAGTAAGAGCTAAACTGAAATGAACAGCAATCACAAAGAACTCTAAGAATAGTCGTACAGTTCACATTCTTTTATATAGAGAAAACAGAATCCAAAGATTTCGCGACAATAAAAGGTTTTCGAGTAATTTAAACGATAAATATAACGTAGAACATACTTGGGTGGTCCTTACTTTACCAGGAAGAGAGGTCTGAGTATAAGCAATGGTTGTAAGAGCATTATCTCTAAAGTTATAGGAAGTAGTAGCAGTGACAGGGTTTGAGCGATCGACGTTGAGAGATGATGGTGTGGTTATGTTGGCTGAAGACATGTCATCACTACTTTTCTGGACCGAGTCTTTTGATGCTTCATCACTCTGAAGATTCTCAATTCGGATTGGACCTGTCACGCGCCGTGTGTTTCTTGGAGCCTGGAACAAAACAATCCGAAAATCAATTTCTTGGTGAAAAGCAAGAAATCAAATAAATCAACCTGAACCGTACAATGCAAAGCTTTTACTTACTTGCGACCGACGACGAACAGCGGAAAGCGACTGACTGGGAGAATATGTTTTAGCGTCAAAATCTTTCCTTTCTTCCCCAACTCTTTGTTCGATTTCATGCAGTGAAGTGGATTCCTGAAAATTTACAAAAATTTCTTAAATGTATGATAAAACAATATCATCAAATCCAACCTTAAATTTTTACAAAACTCAATTAGTTCCTGCATAATAGAACATTTCACACATGTGAAAAAAATAGAAAAAGCAAGCAAGTAACTATATTTCAAAATAGATGTATGAAGATGAGTGCTTCTAACCAAAATATCTATAATGAAATTTCTAAACCTTATCATAGTGAACAGTACAACTGATGGAAAAATATTTTAAATACTAAGAATTATGAAAGTATTCGCTGTAATAGTTTCTTAATACTTACAAAATCTACTGAACAAGACAGTTAAGATACTTTTTCTACGATCCATGAACATTGAACTTATCAGTAATGGAACAAGTGCTCGTACCAAAGACGAAGAAGAGTTCGTTCCATTCCTCTGCGAATCATTCTCCCGATCTTTTTCCTTGTCATCACGTCGAACAGTCAGAGTTGTAGCAACGCGCAGCTGCTCTCGAGTTACTCCTTGAGTCGATCTAATATGTACATATAATCTAATATGCATCAGTTTTAAGACACGAAAACCACGAACGACATCTGGCCTTCTTGCATTAACCTTTGCGTAACAAAAAATACGTCAAATGTAGTTATTGTATTCTGCTCTCTTTTTACTTTTGGCTCTACTCTTTAACTTAAATTCTATTAGGTCAGTTAATGAACCTGCGCGAGTCTCTTTGCCGCTTTGCTCTACTTCGTCGTTCAGCTTCACTTTCATTTGGCATATTCGGTTCCATCGGTGGTGTTGCAAGCGATCCCCTTAAACCGGAGTATTAATTAAAAGACTAACAACTGACAGCTAATTCGTTCGGGACATAATAAATTCCAGTTTTTGAAAGTCATTTAGAATTTTAATAATGCATTATTTCAAGTTAACCAAACTCTAAAGTTTCTCTCAAAACAAGCTATAAGTCCATGCGAAAACAAAGTAGAGCATTGACCAGATACTCCAGATACTCCAAACACCACGTCTAACATTATCTTCTCTACTCATCCTAAAGTATTGTCATTAGGAAAATAAAACGCATACAATAAATCAAAATAAGATGCTCCATGCAGCTAAACTCTGAATAAAAGCAAATGAAAAATACACAGGTACATTAGGCTCTGGACTCGGTAGAACATAGCACTTAAGCTGGACCAATTCTTCCTTCACAAAACTCTTTGCTTCGACTATACTATTTCATTCAAATATTAATATTAAATCAATCTGAATTTGAAATCGAGAATGCTAACATTTACAGTGGTATCTATGTTGTCAGTTAAATATTTTATCAAGTAATAGGAAATGCAGCAGTTATGCAAAGTCAGGACATAGCCGAATGATTAAAAGCTACAAGCTGTAAAGACAACGCCAAATGTTCATCATTTAATAGGCCAACCTAAGATAAAAACAGCTGCAAACAGACTCCTTCTTTTAAATATTTGAAATTCTAGTCTTCTCCTTCATCTATCACATACTTAAATGCTACTAAACTAGGAAAACATGGCAAAAATTTACCTTTTATAAAAGCTTTCAAAGGGTTAGCTTCACAAAAAAATGAAATGTAGAAATACTTGAGCAATAAAGCATTATAATTTTAATTCAAAAACAGTAGACGATGAACAAAAACAAGAAAGATATAGGGAGCACCTTGACAAAGACGGTACGCCAGTCTGCAATGAACAAGCGTTCGTTATTGGTTGATTTCTACTCACGGTGGCCGTAGCAGTCTGTCGTACAGCAGCTTGGAAATGCGCAAAAGCCGGATGTAGCGGACCTTTGACTGCCGAACTACGATACAGAGGCAACCATGGGACAGGTGTTGATGTTGATCGTTGCAAGTTGACACTAAATTTGTCGTTTTTTTTTTGAAATGAAATATCAAGACCATATCTTAGAAAAAACTTATTGCAAATGAATAGAGGCACACTGTGTCATGCGGCAAAATTCATGCAAAGCAATACATATTAGTTTGTGAAAGTTTAACAAAACCAAAATACAATTACAGTACTTCGTGCTTCCATCATATTCTCGTCTTAAAAGAAGTTCTCTCATTGAAGAATGAAACGATTACGTGAGAAAATTCGAGAATAAACAAAGACGAATCTTTTATGTAGGGCTTGACAAGAAGAAAAAGCCAAAGCTGACTGTATTTTCCAACAGCTTGAATAATCTGCTTTCTTTATGTAACCATAATTATGATTATCTATGTGTAACAGAGGGACTCAAAAGGCAAAAAATCGTGGGGCAGTTGCGATAGGGTACAAAAAATAAAAAATAATATAAATACATTCCAATTCATAAACTAAGATCGTAAATTCAGTTAATGTGAAAGAAATTGCTCTAACTATGAGGCAACTGACCTCAAACATTTAATCAAAGACTGATTATTACCAAGATTCGGGCATTTAAATCTCAAATGTTGGGGACGAGAAGTTAGAAAGAACCAGATATTTGAAAGCTTTTAGCGTATAAGAGATGCAAAAATAATTTTTAAAACATCCCATCCGAAACAAAAACAGCGTTTCAGTGAAAATCTAATAATCTTTGATAATAATGTATAAAAAAAATTTTTAAGAAAACGCAAGCACAAGCAACAAAAGCATGAGGTGTGACTGGAAGAAAAGCTATCATTCCACAACAAGACCTAACCTCCATAATGAATAGGTTTGATCTCCGCTATAACGGAAAAATTTGCTTTTGATATCATGAAAGAATTGTCTAAAAATGCAAAATTAATAATAATAATAATAATAAAAAAATCATTTGCTTACGATTTACTGAAACGAGTAGATGGCTCTAAGGAAGTTGTTGTCGTTGCACATTCTTTTTCTGCAGAATGAGTTTTAAGCCACGGCTGATTCTGCGATAAGGCAATCGACGAATTAGAATCAATACTCGCAGATCGTGAAGTCAAACTGCTCTGGAAATATACTTTCTGGTCTGTTAAAGCTAAGAAACACGGTAATAAACTGTATTTGCCAGATGTAAAACGGGTAATTTATATATATATATATATATATATATATATATATATATATATAGAGAGAGAGAGAGAGAGAGAGAGAGAGAGTACCGAACTACACGATATGTTACATCGATATATGATCATGTAAATTATATTTGTGAATCTAGACCAACCACTCGTTCATTGACTTATATTTCACAAATTTATAATGCACTATCTTTTCTTAATGTGTCGGCAAAAAAATGATCATGTTACGGCGAGAAAAAGTGAATGAGAGGAAAAAGAACACTGGAAAGTAAAGGGCAGATATGAAACTTTGTGGATAAGTTGTTTCATGGCACTTAACAAACGAGTGACTTTACAAAAAAAAAAAAAAAAATCAAACGTTTACATGATCTAAATGATTATTAAAACTATTCGTAACTGCACGACATTCTACCTATTAGTCAATTTTATTTCATCGACTAGTAATTGAATTTGGTTTCCTCGGAATAATTCAAATTCTGGAAAAAAGTAGCAGATTTAAATAAAGATTTAACAGAGATTTAAACAACCATTATTTACATTCAGTAAAACTAACAATGGTTATAGATGATGAAGGGGAAGTTGAATTCCGTATCACTTCTGATGGAGATTTCGATTCGCTTGCGCACGCTGGCACAATCGGAGGAGGAGATGGAACGGTTGTAACAAGTGCCAATCTATCCTCCACTGCTAAGCTTCTTTTTTGATCAGACTCAGAAGAAGTAACAGATTCCAATCCAGCTGATTCACTTTTGTCCAAATCGCTGTCCTTGGATTCAGAAATCGAAGCAGTTTTTTCTTCACTACAACCTTCACTGTTTGATTTGGAAGGAGATCTGAATTGCAAATGCTTACGACATTAGCGATATGCCATCTCATTTTATATTTTTCAACCACTAAATCTATATTTATGCTAATTTCTGAAAATGAGCAATGTAAATTATACTTAAAACATTGTTTCCTATTAAGCTGAAACACCTGTTATTAACTACTATGGTTGCGAATCATTTTTGCTAGTTGTTTTCCTATCCTAGTCCAAAGTTATTCTAGTGCTTTTTCTGCCCTGAGTGACAAATTTAAAAACTTTCAATTCATTTATTTCTATTAAAGAGAAAAAAAAGAAAACATGTAAGAGCCAAACTAGCAACAATGCCAAAATGCAAAAAATATTTTAACTTATACACCTTTCGCTAATTTCCATGAGACTGAACACCACATTAAGCACGCAAATCAAAAACATTTTCATAATTTAAGCTGAATATAATCCCAAAAAAGGCAAACCTGCTATCTTCAGAGGGAGACTCACAAATATCGGGTTGATGTTGTTTCACAGGGAACGGTAATCGAACTTCTACAGATGGAGATGGGGACTTGTCCTCAATAATGAAGGAGTAATCGCCTTCCTTGAGGTCTTTTTTTTCATCTCGTTCGTCCAGTTTTGTTTTCTTTGTTTTTTCTTCCGTAGACATTCTTAAAACGGAAGTCGTTGAACTAGCTCTACAAAAATTTTTGAAATATAAATGAAGGTTAAGAATAATGAGACAAACATAAAGTTAAATACTAAAAGATTTATTCATTAAATTCCGTAATTATATAGCTGTGTAACTTAATTGCTTGAAAGTGACTTGAAAGAAATGAAATATAGTGAAATCTCAGTTAAGACAATGAGGAATGAATCAAAACAAGATAATGAACTGCTCAAGCCCGTTTTTAGGAAAATGCCAATAAATTACAACTTTAAAAGTTAGTACCTTTTAAGTGGTGTATTAGAATGTATCAATACATTAACAGAACTGTTGGAAGTCAGTTTCAACCGTTCTTTTTCCTGCATTCCTTCCAAGTATTCAACAATATCTTTATCGGCAACATTTAATACTGTTTCACCCTGTAAGCCAGAAAAAAATAATTGCAGTTCAATTGAACGCTTATTTAGTCACTGATCAAAAAATATGAATTAACAATCACTTTAATCTACAAATCAAAAAAAAAAACAGGATACTTGAATCCTGAACTAAGATTTATCTTCTATCATCTGCTTCCATTTACTTTATTCCTACTATAGTAAACCAGCTTTTAAACAAAATTACATTTGCCCAACATATGATTTTATATCTACTAACTCTCATCAAAGAGAAAAACAGCCATATCTGCAAAAGATTTAATTTATATAATACTAACATTATTGGTAAGTTCGGAGAACGAGGCACCATTCTGAATAAGAATAGTAACAGCCTCATGCTCAGCCCAATGTGCAGCAGCATGAAGTGGGGTCCAGCCATCACGATCGCGACAATTTACATCAGCACCAGCTTTAAGCAACAACCTTATTACATCGTTATAGCTGAAACAACCGAAATAATGGTACTTCTACGCATTTTCAAGAGAATAAATGAAATGATTTATGCGCAAAAGAGAATAAATCAGATAAGGAAAAGAGATTCGTAAATTGCAGCAACAATTTCTACCAAATTTTAAATACCATAAAGCCGTATTCCAATATAAAGAATGGTAGGAAAGTTAAAATGATAAGTGTAGTACGAAGAGAAACAATGAATGAAAGATGTTCTTATAGGAGACTATGTTGTATTATTGATAACAAAAAACTGCGACAAATAAGTATTACAAACCACAACAACCAAGTATTCCTGATCCAATTGACAGCAGATAAGCTTAAAGACTAAAAATAAGCAGTTCTTTTATAAAAGCATATCTTCAACCCAGTTTTTGAAAACTTGACTGTCTTGTAATGAAATGAACAGGAACCCTTTTGCAGCTGCAACATGAAGCGCTGTAGCACCAGTTCGAGAATGCGGATGATCATGCATTTCACCATCCTTCAGCCATTGCTCTGCATCACGTCTCATTATTGCTAACTCTCTACAATACAAATTAGTAGTACAGGCATCTGAAAAGCAATCAGAGCAACTGAAACTAATTTTTCACTCAACCTAAGACATAAATTTTTTTGAATATATTCCTAGAATTGTCACATATGTCTGACATAATGGCGTAGCCATAAACCTAACAATTGTACGATTAAACAAATAATGTGACAATTACGGCGGATAAGTTTTTCACCTTCAGATCCATCAGCTAAACTTGAAAACACTTCGATAATATAAATGTATTAACATACGAAACAAATGCATTTACCTGTTTCGGCATTCATCAGGATTGATGCCTTGTCGTTGATGTTCCTCTTCCAGGGCCAAACGACAGTCATCTTCCTCTGCCAAGTCAACAGCTAATTCCTTGTCGCTATTTGTCACAGAAAGATCGGCACCCTCTGTACATAGATATTCGACTAAATCGATATTCCCACAACAAGCTGCTGCGTGTAATGGAGTCCAACCTAAAGCAAGTAATTTTCCTCAGTCAAAAAAAAAAGTGCAAGAGAAAATTAACGATAATGGGTTAGTTTCATCATGAATATGAGAATGCTTATCCAACAAATCAAGAGGCCTAAAAGATGCGGATTTTTCCGCTTAAGAGATATGAACATAGGGAACAACGTTATTAACCATGTTATGAAGATGTAGAAAGATTTATGATCATTAATCTACGGCAAGTAAAACAGAAAAATGGACAAACCTTCATTATCTTGTGCGTTGACGTTAGCTCCATGCTCCACTAAAAATTGTACCATTTTTGGTTTGCCATCGATGACTGCCTTAAATATTTGAATGAGTATTTAATGAAAATCGCAAACTGGAAATGCACTTTAGTTGTACTATTTTTCTTACTACTGGATAACATAAGCTAAAGCGCTGGGTCTAATTTTCACTTCGTAGTACTGTATTCGCTAAGATTTTTGGATCTGATAAAAAAAGTGGGCATCTCTCATAGTAACAATAAAAAGATCTTATTTTTCACAAACCTTCAACAGACATCACTATAATCAAAGTGGTAGTACCTATGATAATTAAAAAACTTAATTATAAAGAACCCTTAAACAGATTTTACTAAGAAAAAATTTTTTTACTATGATTTAACTTTGCTTAATTCAATTATTAGAATTTTTTCAATTCATGGCAAATTGTAAATAATTATGAAACTGCAATGACCTGATGTAAGGCTGTAAGACCATCCACTGTACTAGTATTGATATTCGCACCATCGTTGAGTAATGTCTGCACTTCTTCCAAGTCACCACTTAAGCAAGCACTCAGAAATATATCCTCGTCCTACAAATTATTTTTAGCTTTCAAACATAAATTGTTGGTCAAAAACCTCTCGAGTTTTATTAGTAATTTGTGCTAAAAATGAGTAACCGTGGGTAAAAAAAATTTAAAGGCTTTGGATGGATCATCCTGCATTAGTTTATGGTCATATAGCTCGTGAAAAAATTTGTTACCTTAATAAAACAATATAACAACTACAATCGATGAGTTATTATTAATCACAGTTTTTGATACATCAATTGACTTACAGTGAACTTGACTTTAGATTCATGACTAAGCTTTCGAACTGATGGCAAACGATTCGTTTCCGATGTTTCCCATTTCACTAACTGTTCCTGAAATAAACATAAAAACAAAAATCTTTGACTCGATAAAAAAATTTAATTTGAAAATTCTGAAAGATCCATCAGCTCTCAACAGCTTTCTTCCTTCAACCGATTTATGGTGCTAAAAGAATGCCGTTTTCCCTTTTCAATTTGAACACAAACGACCTATTTTAATTCTTCTCAATAACCGAAAAGCATATCAAACAAACCAAACTAACAATTTTATTCATCAAATAAAAAAAACTCGCCAACCAATAAACAAAACGAACCGAAGAAAAAATATTACATAAGAACAGATTATTTAAACAAACTAAAATGAGATTAGATTCACAGTAAGAGATAAACCAGCCGACACTTCTTAACCAAGTTTTGTTAAGAGATAAACCAGCCGACACTTCTTAACCAAGTTTTGTTCTTTTATTTTTCTGTCTTTCTGCAGAACAGAAATGATCTGTCACAGTAATTTCTGTACTTACTAATATCAAAGACAGAGGCAATGATAAAAGATCATCTTCATTATTCAACCTATTAAGCATGGTAAAAAAAAAAAAAAAAAACGAAATTGAGACCAAGAAACAGACTTAACAAAAGAATATTACAAATCTTGAAGATTTCTAAATTAGGGTGGGGTAGGAAGGAATAATAAAACACAGTATGGGTTGAGTTCTGCAAAAAACAGTATGTTTGGTATATCATATTCGGTTATTATTGTCATCATAAGAAAAAGTAAAACATTGCTTAAATGAAAAAGACTACTCTCATTTCTGCATTTTTCTAAGTCTTACAAAATTAAAATCAAATGTAAAAAAAAAAAACAATAAAAACAAATGTAAAAATAGTATAAACCAAACGGTGATGTTCCTCTGCAGGATCCTACAAGCTCACTCTAAAGATGAATCATGTTTGCTAGATGAAACGTGGTTTGTTTAGCAAATATGAAAACATATTTTTGTGCTCAAAAAAATGTTGGAATTTATAGTTGAAAACATGCTTTCATAACAATCGGAAATAATCCAAACAAAATATGAATTATGTGAATATTATTACCCTTAATCAATAGTTACAAATCAAGGTCTATAAGCTATCCAAAATCCATGGATGAAATAAAACAAAGCATATTCAAAGAATGTGATCCGCAAGCCTAAATTACAGCAGCAAGTCTCATATAATTCATTTGTATTGAAACTCTATCAGCACTCAACTCTAAAGTGTTACTGTGACACATTTAACTTAAATCAAACTCAAAATGCTATGAAGATTAGAAAAATACAACAAAAAATACCAAAAAAAAAAAAAATCAATTGTTACAAAGAAACACTTGTCACCGTGATAAAAAAAGATCTTAATTCTATCAGTCAAACGTTACTGTGACATACTACATTTAACTTAAATAATTTTGAATCAAAACATAAATTATACCATAGCTGTATTAACATTTAATGAAAATTTATTAGAAGCTATAGTAGTCATTCAGTACAGTGATAAAAGAATAACGATAATTTGGTTCCACAATTTGATAAAAGACTGGGTAGTTCCTTCCAATATTCAAAACAGCGACCAAGCTAATCAGCAAAGATTATTAAAAACATGAAGTAAGACATATATTCAATAGAACGAAAACATACCTTCCGCTTCCAGAGAACATTATTCGCTAAAATATTCTTGTTCTGTTGAAGGAAAGCAAAGTGGGATGCTTCCAATGCGACATCCGAATCTTCTCTCACCATTCCACTATTCATTCGTTCTTTTTATATCAAAACAACAAATATACTAGTGCAAATAGCAGAAACAAGCATAAAATAAAGGAAAAATAATTTGATCCAGGCAAAGAGGTTGTTTGATCGGAACTATGTCCAAGAGATTACGACTAAACATTACGGTTTCCGGATGCCATCGAGGACGTCGTATCTATTTATCTTTTTCTCCACAGTTAATATGACTATTATCAATACCTCAAAAAGATTCGCGTAGAATTAAGTCAAAAATTACATGGAATTGATTTTTCCGGAATCAATCGCCACAAAAAGTATCACGGATTTGTACAAAAATAAACCCACGAAACTGAAATTTGAACCTCTCTTCGACACCTCAAAATGCCGCAACCTCTCAATATGATTCGTTCATTACAATACTACCCTGATATCTTTTGACTACAATATTACATTGGTATCTTGATACTTTCCTGACAAGAATAATTGCATTAAAAAATAGAACTACTATTACTAATAAAAATGATGCTATACAAGTTGATAACACGATGACAGCAAATACATCCACTTATTTCGCTACTGCAAGGACCGACCGCGCGAAGCATTATCGTCATGTCAAGGGTCCCTCTTGACAATTCCTTCCACCTATGCCAGCAACCAATTAACAAACCTCTCTTCTCCCTCCTCTTCAAAATGATTCTTTTCTTCCTCTCCGAGAACTCTAAAATCGCCCTCTTCATATATCATCTCTCTGAATTTCACTACCTTTCCTATATATGCATTAGATATGTATGTCTGTATGTCAAAGTAGATATATGTGTAGGCATAGTGTATGTGGCATAGTACGTGTAGGACATGTGTATGAGAATATACATACGTAAGGATACATATATACACGAACGTGACTGCACAGATATACATGTGCATGTCTGTGAATGTAGGTGCATGTATGTCGTATTGTCAACTATATTACCCAACATCTTCCACTCATCTCCGCACTTGCCACACCCGCCGCATGTGTCGTTGTTGACATCCTCGCAGTGCAATAAATCGCAGTACAGTCCATCATTCATCACTATTTATTTACAATTTGCATCACGATTATTATCGCTACCACATATAATTAATAATTAGTATCCCTATTGTCACTGTCATTACCACTATCATTGTATCATCATCATTATTATTATTATTATGGTCGTCATTAATGCCTTTATCATGGGTACTACTGCTACTGTTGTTATCACGTCTATGATTATCACTTAGAACTACCGCTTCAGCACTATCATCAACGCCGTCACCATTATCTCGACCATCAACCGCTATCAGTGCAGCTCTCATTACTGCAATAATCATTAGTATCACTGTCACTATCATCATCATCTTCTTCCCTATCTATTTTCATCATCGTTACTAACTATACAGACAAAACAGACATCGTAAATTTGACAAACTGTAGATATCTTATCCGCACAGTTGCTAAACAATCGATGACCGCAATTTCATCGGAAAGTTGTGCCTCTTGTCCTACTAGTCGTGAAATCGCTCAAAATATCGATTACCAACCCCGCAATCATCCTATCCAGAAAAAAAGTCCTTGAAACAACCGAGTCGTTCTAATGTGAACACCGACTTCCAGAACAGCTAATGACATAGATCGACAGCCTATTCTGAGCTAATCCATTTCTCTCCTTCCATTAATTAGTCCACTAACTCATTAGTCAGACATTTTCATTTTCTCGATATAGGGAAGCTCCGTTTAATTCCTTTCCAATAACAAATTTAGCAAGATTAAAACAATCCATAGAGATAAACAATGCAAAAGCTTGATTTGTTGAAAATCGAGTTTTAATACAAATTAGAATAAAGAACAATAAGGAAATGAGCTAAATAATCTTATAAATAAACTGGATCACATCAGGATAAATTTACTGATATTTCCCGATTTCGGTTTAATCCATGCAAGTTATTAGTAATCGTCTGTTTCATAACAGATCTAAGTTTCAACTGGAATATTTGTTCGCTTCGCAAACATGGAATGAAATATTGTTGTGTATGTAAATGTTCGACATCTTGACATTTCCTCGTTCTCATTTCGACTTCATTGTTTCTTTATTTACTTCTGTCTTGATTATTCTAGTACAGATTGATAAATATTTTCCTATCAGTAAAAGTATGTTAATAAGGGAATATAAACTGAGACGACTGTCTCATTAATTTTTAGATTTTGATAAATGATCAGGGTTTGAATAATTTTATAATCCCTGGTGTAAAAGTGTGAATAACTGTATAACCGGCAAATATTAGTGATACTTGAGGGTAGCTCTCTGCAAAATCGCTGTAATTAGCTAGGGTATAAATTAAGATATGAAGCGAAAAGATGTGAGGAGTGCCGATAAAGAAACCGTTATGTGGACAACGCAACTGTTTGTAATGCTGAAAAGATTTTTTTTTTCCACGTGAAGAATATGATACATAGCAAAGAAGCTAAAGCTAAATAAATGGAAAGATTGTGTCGTTCGGACGAGATCCACCTGATCCTTTGCACCGAGGGATTTTGTCGAGTATTTGACTACTTCAGTTAAACATCTCTACATTTTTTGCCGATGAAAAACAAATGAATAGAAACGAAAGTGCTATTGAGAAAAAGAGCAAGAATGAGGGGATGAGAAGAAAATGAGAATAGGTAGAGAAGGTTGAGCTGTGAGGGGAACTGTTCGCTGAAAAAAGTTGTGAAATTCTTTGGAGTAAAGAAGAATTCGAATTGTATGGGCTAATCCGTCATTCTGCTCCGCTTTTTGAAATTTAGATTGCAGTTTGTTCCTTTTAGTTTGAATTCAAAGAATGTCATTATGGAAATTGCAATTTCTCACCTATGAATTAAAAAATTTGTTCCACGAGAGTGACGAGAGTGAGAATAAATTGTGTTGTAATATGATCACTGATATATCATATCATCAGAAATCTATTGATTGGTTAGAAGTCCTACTAACTTCTTTATAATTACTGTTTCATAGTGTTTGATAAATCCATTGAATTATTATACCTAACTTTGGCATTGCAAATGCGTATTCGTACACACAAAAGGAAACTTATATAAATAAAAGCAAATGGGTAACAGTAAGCAAAAAAATTGAAGTTTGATCTCGATATCGCTATAAATTGGTGAAATGTCGGATCGGAATATCCAAAACTTGGCTACCAATTCGATTTTATTTAGGACTTCTGGAAAAAAAGAAAAAAGTGCGTTGGAACGAATGTTTTGTCATCATGCACATAATGTCAGCGTCATAGCTTATTTTGGGTTTCATTGATAATTAATAAGTTAATTAATGACTGCCGTAATGCGGAGTTTCTGAAACTTTGGAAATGCTCAAAATGCACTTCTCAAAATGTTAAATCTGCTTTGAATTGGTGTAATATTACATATAATAAACGTTCTCGTTGGTATCAATTTTAGTAATCATAGAGACTAATCGATGTATTAGAAAATCACTGAGAATAACAAATATCCACTGTATCCACTAATCAAATTTAATTTAAAATCTTCACGCTTAAAAATGTTATATTATAATATGAAAAGAAAATCAATAACAGTCACCAAAATAATTAGTAATGAGAAAATTAGCAAAATATTATCTTACCCTGAGTTATTTGGATAAATCAGAAATTTCCTTCGCGATATTCAGACGAGCTTGAACTTCGAATCGTTCTCTTAATTCTCGAGTTGCGTAAATGTTTGGAATTCGCATAAATAATTTCAAAATCTGAAAGAAAAACGATTGAAGATGAAAGGCTTCATTGTATCTTAGAAATTTTTTCAGACTCTAATTATACTTTTACTGGAATGATTTTTTCGCTCATCGCTATGAAAACAGCAAAAAAGAGGAATAAGAAAGAATTTCAATTGAGTTATTGTGTTATCATTCTTTGTTTGATAAAAACATTTTAAACATTAAGAGAAAAAAACGATAAGCATGGCTTTGACTCATTTTACAATGTGATTTTATAAGTAGCTCAAGATGATTCACTGAAATTAACATTATAAAACAGTCAAGGACACCATAATCATTTCTTAATCCTTTCGTATCACAATTTTCATATGCTCAGCAGCAAATCTTGGAGGGAAGTTAAAAATTTTTCCATGCCGAATCCTTTTTAATCACCGGATAGAAAGGAATAAACGAAAAAAGTTGGAGAAGAACTCAAAATACATTTTATTAATTAATGAGATAGTCATCTGCGAACAAAGGAAGCAACTTTTAGTAGAATGAGAATCAGTATAAGAAGTCATCCTTATAAATTTATTATTTCTCATGATGGGAGCTGTGTTTCATTAGTACTGATCACTAAACTTAAAATTGCCGATTTTATTAACATCAATAGTTAAGGATGCATCGATGATTAGTTGCAAATAAGATATTACATACTTTTAATCTTTGTTGGCGGTATTCCTCGTCGTTTAGATGATTATATTCCTTTCTGATATTTTTGCTGTGTGTGTCATACTCGATTTCATCGACTCCCAAAAAAGCTAAATCGAAATCTAACAAGAAGTGAACGTCATCCTCGCCATAACTATTGGCTATTAAATGAGCATCGGTACAGTGTTTTTCACTTTTGAGAATCAGTGTTGCTGAATATTCCTAAATTCAATCTTTAATTGTGTAAAAAAGTTGAATTTTAAAGAAAATTCAAGTAAATTTGGAAGGCAAAAATTTTTATTCATTACTTTATTTTTCGGACTAATATTTCGATGTGAACAGCATAGCTCAAGAATTTTATGCCAAAATTTTCGCCACCAAGTTCTTAAAACTAGTTTATGTCCAAATACTTTTTTAGAGTTTGTAAAAGCTGATTTATAATCAGTTATGAACTTATTCATCCTTAAAAAAGTTACTTTGTTACTAAGGTCCGTCATTGGATTAAAGGATAATAAAGCTTACTTTTACAATGAAAACAGAACAGAGATAATGCTAAATAAAATCGATTTGTTGGCTTGTTTTGATCTGACCCAGAAGCATTAAATTGGGATCTATTGATCCTACCCTTTCTTGTCACAAAAAAATTCTACCAAGTCAATTGTTGTTTCCGCTGAAAATTGCTTCAATATTTCCACGCTTCGCTCAGCATTATTGCTGCGTTTCGGATCATCAGCTGCACTACAATATAATTTACTTTAATGCTACTTTCAAATCTCGATCAGCTTTTTAACCTACAGTAACAATTCATCCACTATTCTCTCCTTTTATACCAAATGAAGTATTCTTCATGACTAATAATTATCTCTCTTGGAATAAAGAAACTAAGTACATGCATTCACTCGTCATAATGTTTGGGAATTGTCGTTTACTCCTTTGAGATTTGTAATTCTAGTTAGAATTTAGAATCTAGCTTGTAGTATTTTAGCAAAATAATGGAACAGAAATAACTATGCGATGTAAAAGTTAAAAATAAAAAGGCAGAAAGTAAAAGAGGAAAACTTTCTATCATCATTAGTATATACATTTTCAATTTCAGATCCTGACTAAAATCAAAGTTTTTGATTCGGACTGTTTCAGCTACTAAATAATATATCTCTTTCTTTCTCTCTCTCTCTTCTTTCATTATTAATGATCTTATCACTTAATAGAAAAACATGGATAAAACTTACTGCAAAAAGAATATGGCAAAAGCAGTAGCCATTTGTTCCTGCAACTTATGCTTGCATTCATCGAAAAGCACAAACATATTATTTAGATGTTTGAGGTTGTAGAATGATCGCTCGCTATAGATATTCAATAAATATTTCCACCATTTTTCCTGAATTTATTACCATAAATGTATGTATACATCAAACGGAATGAATTCAGTGTCAGTAACCGTTCAGTCATTCTCATAAACAACTGACATAAAAGTTATACTTTTTAAAATGACACTTTTGAATCAAATTAAATTTAAAATGAACAAATATATAGTAACCTTTAAGTCTGGTGAAAAAGCTGATGCCAAATCATTCCATCTGTCGAATAAAGCAGCCTTAGAGCTTGCAGTTGTAGCATCCATTTGAAAGCCAAGACTGAAAGCCTGGTCTTTGTTCCACTCAGTTCGTAGTGTGAAGCTAGGGAACGAGGCTGTATTGACTTTTTCTGGCCTCACTCCTCTTCAATCCTCTTCTCACATAAATGTCCTATAAATCAGAGTTATTCCGTCATTACTTCTTCTAATGCCAACAATCAACACTCGCAAATTATACATATTAATAGATGGCTAACAATTTAATTAGTACACTCAAACTTAATATGTTAATCGTAGTGCTATTGAATAGACTGATAACAAATCAGTAACATTCATCACTATTTCAGGCTGGCATCTTCCGATTTAATGATAATGCATAGTTATTTTGCTTCATTTTAGAAAGAAATGGGTAATGAATCAAAATTATTCACACAATTTAATTCAGCCCTCTTTTCTAGAAACCTTATGATTAGAAAAAATGGCAATCACATTGATTTTGTTGGATAAACTGACCACTCACAATTTTTTTTTGCTGAACAGTTAAGTATTTCAATAATTACTTAAATATACTTTGAATTGTATTTCCATAAGAGATTCGACTGAAAGCCTAAATTTCTTTTTGAATTCATCACACATTTACAAATCACCAATCAGTGTATTGCCATTTTAATCCATTGTGTAAATTTCGATAGCAGTTTTGAATAAAAGACTTTAAAGCTTTTGATTTGGCGTCTCACAGAGTAATTTCGTAGTATAAGCTAAAATATGGAAGATAACAGGTCACGTAGCACGTCAAAGTGTAATTTTTATGAGCGAACTTCAAAAAGGACAGGCAGAAACTCACTGATAAAAACAGAAATAATCACTACGTTGACAGTTTCTTACATTTTTTAACATTTAGGACAACATGACCACGTATTTATATGAAAAAACTAGTAATCAGTTAGTAGTTATGAAGTAATAAGGATCTCTCATAGCTTTCTGTCACCAGAAATTTCAGGAATCAATTTCACATTGTTTTCAGGATATTTGATTTCGAAAAAAGAAAGAAAATTCACACAAAAATGCAAAGTTTTGTAGTGCACAAATCAAGAACCTTCAATTTTTCGCCTCATAAAGTTCTAAAACTTCGGAAACTTTCAAATCCTATCAGTTTTCATGAATTAAAAAGGTTTGAAATAAATCAGAAGCATCTTTTCAAAGCCAAAGCACTTTTTTAGAAGTAAAAAAGATAGATTCATAATTTATATCAAAAAATTATCACTTAGTAATCTTCTTTAGCGGTAGCATATTTCTCTTATCATTGTCGTCAACAACAAACATATTACAGAGAGAAAGAAGTTAATAACAATTTAAAAAGGAAAAAATTAGTTAGATTATGGAAACGGAAAACATAAAAGTTTCAATATCAGAAACGGAAAGCATCTCAATATTGTTATTTAATTATAATTATCATTCGATTTATCTATTTTCTATTTAAATTAAAATCTTTCCTTTTGTTGTATTATCATATTTTATATTCCATAATATTTTGCATGTCCTTACAAGTGATATGAGATATGCATGAAGATTTAAGTTAACTAGAAAAAATCTATATGAAAAGTCAATAGATTAAATTCATGTGCCACTCATATTCTTGCTTTTTCTCTACCGGTGAGGAAATTTTACAAAATTTTATAGAAAGTTTTCAACAGTTATTAGAATCAATTAGAATTATTTAATTACAATTTTTGATTCTACTTCATTTAACTGCTTACTTTTTCATTTATCAATCAATTTTTGTCTTTTGTTTATATTTTTTACACATTGAAACAAACTATCCCATTGGAATATTAAAAAAAAAATCAAAATTGAGACTTTAAATGAAACTTATCTTGTTGCGCTTATCACTGTACTTGCTGTTAGCCTCTAAACTATCCCATTACATAGCATTTAAAAAACAAAAAGAAAAAAAATAATAATCATTTTTTTATTGGACTGTCATAAAATCCGTAAAATGAATTGATTTTATGTTTCTTCAGTTACATGAAATATTTATTTTATATAACTATGAACACACTATGGCATCATATGATAAACAACGATTAAATGATTATATAATAATGATAAAAGATAAATGTTTAATAGCAAGATCTGTTTCGAACTACAGCTCGGCCACTGATATGATTTCAGCTGTTCCTAAATTTGTGCCAACAGGGCTCAGCCCTGTTCTCAGCTTTCGTTCTGAAATAAGCTAGCAGAAAAATATGACAAAAATGAAATAATGAAATAATTTTCACGGAATAGAAAAATTTCATCAAAACAGCTGTTTTTCAAATCGTATCGAATTTGCTCAGATTTTTCGCTTTCTAGAAAGTGCTAAATAAAGATGACACATCACACCAGATGACATAGTTAACTGATTAAGTGATTGAAACTTAACTGATTGAAAACGAGACAACTGATCCATCTAATAAAAATCTCAGCAATATTTCCATTTAAAAAAGTTAAAAGAAAAGGACAACACAGTGTTTATGTGTCACACGCATATCCGTATATGTACATGTGTGTGTATATGTGGTCAATAGACGTGTTACACGTGGTATTCTTTAGAGAAAAAATTATTCGCCACGAAATCGGTAAATGCTTTTATTTAATTTTGTTCACTTATTTCATTCTTCATTCATTTCATTTCTGTTATTTTATGATATTTCAATGTATCACTTTGAGAATAGAACAAATTAAATGTTATATTTATTAATTTAAGATCTGATACTCAATTTAGGATTTTGGAAACCAGTAACTTCTAAAATTGTTTCAGCTTCAAAAGCAGCAAATATTGAATTTTGATTCCCACAGGACTTCCACATGTCGATCTTCTCAATTTCCTTGAGCACCCGAACAGCATCATCATGTTTTCTCCGTCAAGTTATACTACTCTGTCATTTCCATTTCTTTTTTCTTCTTCCTCGTAACACTCACTTTGTTGACGTATATATCGACGTTTTTAAATGCGATAAAACGATAATAGCTAAAAATGCCAAGATGCATCAGTTTGAATATAAACTCACCAATAAGCTGGTTGTAATGTCTTTTTTAAGGTATTCATTACTTCCTTTTCTTTTAAGTAAGCAAGCTGTATTCAGTAAAGGCCATATTCTGGCAAAAACATAGCATTTATAACTTAAGTTATATTTGACCTTTTTACAATTTCAAAGTTTTGCACATTTTTTAAAGGATTTTACGGCGTCTGATTGTAACCAAAATCATCTCTCCGCACTTCTTGCTAATTGTAGCTTGCATTCTATACATGGTAATTGGGGCATGGATATTTCAAGCGCTCGAAGGACGTCACCTCAAAGTTTGCAAATTTTTGAACTTCGATAATAATTAAACGATATGACCGAATAGTAATAAAAATACAAACTATTATGCATTAAAATATCTGAATTAAGACGTCTGCATTTTGTAATTTCAATTTATTCCCTGCCAAGAAGTGATTAAATGTTATAAATGTTCAAGTTTGTAATTTTCAAAAAAAAAATAAAGTCTTTCATTGCTTCCTCTGCTGCAATTATTAAGCAATTATTTCCAGCTGAATAACTATGAAACGATTCAGTCGGATCGTTAAATAAGTGTTGAAATGACTGTGCTATTAACTTTAATACATAAAAAAATGACCATTCAACTATTGAGCTTTTACATTTGAATTTATTTAAACATCAATGGTTGCAAACAGTTTATAAAAAGATTCTCTAACTTTTTTCATAAATATGAAATTGTTTCTTTTAAATTTCCTTCATATATATGAAATTATATTTTGTTGAGACTCAATTTAACACAAAACATTGCATAGGTATTAAAATGCACCCAATCTATGTTATAAAAGGTATAATACTGTCATTGAAAGAGTAATCATCGAAAAGATATATTATTGTGCTTATAATTTCAGGACATGAAAGCAGCCCAACTCAACAGAATCGATGTAAGCGTGGAGAAGTATATAGATAGAATTTGGGATTTAACACATTCTAAAAAATATCAAAAAATAGGCAGATCAGAACTGAAGGAAATATTTAGACGCGATAGTAGAGAACAATTTTATAAAGTAATTATCATATTAATCATCCTAACACAATAAATTTAATTAATCTGCCCAACAAATGTTATATAAAATTTAACAAAATAACTGAATCATCTGTTAAAGATGAAAAGTTACGATAATTCTGAGATAGAAAATGTTTACCTCATAATTTTCTGTTATTTAACATATTGCAGTACGTCGATACCGTGTTTACCGCTCATCTGAAGTATCGACATGGCTACGATACGAATGCTCCGTGCTGGGATTTTATTACCTCGTTTTTCTTTACGGCAACGATGCTCACATCAATTGGATACGGTTATGTTGCACCATCAACATTCTCCGGACGTTTATTCGGTGTCATCTACTGTCTCATTGGTAAATGTCATATAAAAATTTGATTCGTGGCATAATCTAAACTATGTTTTCATTAGCTTTTACATTTTCCAGACTGAATTTTTATTTTGCATCAAATTTCAGGCATCCCACTAACACTGGTTACAGTGGCTAACATTGCCAAGTTCATATCAGAATGCGCTTTTTTAATTCATTACAATTGCTGGAAAAAATTAACGACATGGAGAGATCGCCGGAAAGGATTTACGATCCATGACCTTCGACCTGTTTTCAGTGAAAATGAAGATGAACAAGTTCTAAATTATGATCTTCCCCTTTAAATTAGTATTTAATTAGTATTTAAATTAGTATTTAAATAGTGACAAAAAAATTTTTACATGGATACAATTCAATTTTTATATTTTAGGAATTATTAGACAAAGTAAAGCTTGTTCGCTTTCCACCCGTAATTTTATTTCTAATTGTGTTCTTATATGGCCTTTTCGGCTCATATATTATTCAAAAGAAAGAACATTGGACTTATACCGAATCAGTGTATTTCACATTTATTAGCATTTTGACAGTTGGTTAGTATGAATTTCACAAATGTTAATTAAAAAAAAAAAAATCAGTTAATTATCATCATTTGTTTTAGAAAATACTACACAGCTGAATAGATAGTATGAAATTGGAGTCAATGTTATTTATTTAAAAATCAAATAGTAGTTTTGCAACTTAAATAATAATTCGAGAAATACTGCTGAATGCAGGTTTCGGTGATTATCGCCCAGAACAGCAAAACATGTTGGTAGTTTTGTGTGTCATCATGGGTGGCATAATTCTGACAACAATGTGTATGGATGTTGTCGGTCGAATGTATCTAAAGGAGATTCATTACATTGGCCGTAAAATTCAAACGAATAATCCCTTCTTTTTGATTCGTGAAGCAAAAGCAAGGTGTTCATGTATTTTCCAATATATGCCAAAATAATCAAATTACCAGTTTGATCCTGTTGACTATACAACTGATCAAATTGATCATTGAGTTTTAGCTCCAAATCACTTGAGAGATATTTTATTTTTAGAACAATATTCCATTCATTTTTTGCTATCTGTTCTTCACAAGCTGGATTCCTATGAATTATGTAAAAATTTAGGCGACGACGACAAGCAACTGCAAGTATGCTTTTGGAATTAGCAAAAGGAATGATATTTGAACATAATAATACTCATATGGGTGCAATGGCCAGAAGACGAATGAGCAGAAAGCTTCAAAAACGCGGGCCACGCATGTGTGAGTTTTATTCTTAAAAATAATTTGGATTATATCACAATGTAGATTTCTCACTCATTGCAAGTTAATTATATTGAAATAATAAGATGGTTTATCAGTTATCTGCAAGCAGAAATTCAGTTCGTTTAATTCTTCCCAATTTAAAAACATTTCATAAAATTCATTTTTAGTAACAGATGATGAATTTATGTTCGCTCGTCTGCCACCAGATCCACCACGGGAATGTCAGGTTGTTTCCACATCCGCTTATTCAGTACGCCTTGCATGGGCACCAGCATTTTCTGCTGACGATCAAGTTACCTACAATATACGTTATCGGATCAAGTTTGTAATAGTAATTTGCTTAAGTGAGGAAAGACTCGATTTTGAATCTACTATAGAAAAAGATTACTTGAAAGTGAATTTTTGCTAACTTCTCATGTCAATGATACCTTTTCACATTTTCATTTCATTATGAGAACAATCTATGAAAGTATGTAATTTGAAAATTGTACTTTAACAAATTCTAAGAATTACATTCAAGAAAAGCAGTTTAGACATCAAGAAGACAGTAAAATGCGTGAACTGCGCGGCATTCAAGGACATTCAGCGGAAATTATGAGCGTTGATTCCTGTTCTTTGTATGAATTTCGTATCACAGCTGTTTCACGTTACGGTGAAAGCAAACCAGTCTATCTAGTGCAATATACAGGTAGATGAAGCTTTCCCACGCCAAATCCTTAAAATTTCGGTTGAAGATTAAGTAACCTCACTTCTTTCCAAAAAATTTCGAAAATATTGTTTTAGATCTATTCAAAAAAATTGATCGAAGAGCAGCTTATTCCACAATTTTGTTGTATCTGCTAATCCTTTTGTGAATTATTTTTAATTTCAAAAACAGCTCTTAGGGATTCGCAGAAATACTAAACAAAAATGATCAAAATTTGAAGTGAAAAAAATATTTTATAAAATTGAACTCTTGATAAAAATCAAATAAGAAAAGTGTAATACAAATTATGATTGAAAATGAAAATTCTTATGTAACTTCTAAGTTGAGTAGTGTATTGCAGTAATGTGTTGCAGAGCCACAGCTTAGCCCACAACATATCTTAGCTCAACGATTGAATGCAAACACTATCGAATTATCTTGGGAACCACCTTACAAACGCACCAGAGATGTTGCGGTATATATTAGCGAATTTTGTAATATTATAACTTTGAAAGTATATTCAGTAACCTTAGTCGCCTAAAGACATTTGCGCAGTTCAATTCAGTTTATTAATTAATGTTCTTCCACACCATTCGAAACAACGATATCTTTTTCAGAGCAAGAGAATATCCTACCGAAACATTAATTTAAAGTATTTAGTTTTCCTCATAGAAACTTTTGACATTACCTGAGAGATTAACTCGTCTGAGCTAACCTTAGAATGCGATAAAAAAAATAAAATATGACAATGTGCAATTTTCAGAATTATATTGTTTATTATACGGAAAATCCTAATGCTCACTTCTCAGTCTGGGAACGCATCACAGTTCGTGGACAACGAATAGTTTTTCCTGATCTACGCTATGACTGGTTCTATACGTTCTGTGCCACAGCTTGTTTCAAGGATGGACAGCGATCACCACTATCTAGAGCGCTATTTGTCAAGACTGAGAAGTTGGAATTCCGGCCTAAATGTTAGAACATTTATGGTTTTCTTAAAATTTCAACACACTGCTTGCAAAAATATTCCTCACAAAGAGAATTTTAAGTTAATCCAAAATGCAACCCTAAAACCATTGCATTTAGTTGAGATAATGAAATAACTTTTTCATGGAAAAAAAGAATGAAGTCAAACGAGATGCATAACAAACAAGTTGATCAATCTCCTCCTGTTAATTTTAAATATGTTAATATGCAATCCTAAGAATCAATTCTGGCACGGATTGGTACTTTTATTTTATTTTCATGGATAGATTAATCCATGTTTCGTATAAAATATAAGTGGTCTACTTTCAGGTGTTGGTCAATCGCATACCATTGAAGTAATGAATACAATACAGTATGCAGAAGATGAAATTAATGAAAGAGTGCCCTTATTGCCTCGAGACTATGTATCTTTTCAGAACTAATAGTTGTACGAAAATACTTGTTGAATTAATCTGTAATGAAATCAAAACATTAAATTCTTGTAATTCCCTTCAAATTTGGCTATATTCGAATTAGTACCACAAATTACTCATACAATGTTGTTGATTCCCCCTGAACAGCTGGAAAATTTTTACCAATATAGTTTTCAAAGACAGGAGCATTCTTGTGCTACTTAGTTTTTCTGCAAATAAAAAAATATGTTACTTATGGATATTAAACGCTGGCAAATTTTCAATGAAGCAAAAAAATTAGCAAAGCATATTTTCCATTCATCTCATCCTGACACATTTTTAAAGAAAACAGTTACACTTATTTTTAATCATTTAAATTTGATGGCATCCTTTAAGTGACACTTCCTGCTACTCAGATAAATTCCTTCACATGCAAAATAAAAACAGACAAATTCCTTCACACGAAAAATAAAAATAACATCAATTTCATATCATCTACTCATTCTTACTCAATTCTCCCTTATACTAACGGATCATTGGAAATTACTGTCCTATGAGAAAGTTTTCAACGACAAAAGATTAAGACAATGCGTCACACACAAATGTTTAATTCTTATTACAAAATAACCTTATGATCAGAAGTCTACTGAAAAGAGGGATCTGTAAGAGAGATGATATAAAACCCTTATCATTGATAAGAGGGTGATAAAAATAGAGTAGAGATGCCACTGCACAAAACATTCTGAATGAAATAAGCAATTGACCACTCCGTGAAATGAAAGTATTCTGAGCAATCGCATCCTAAAAAACTTGCACTTTTTGTGGAGTAAACAGAGATTAATAAGAATCGAAAATAGCATAAGGAATGTGTAGACGAAAGAGTAATGTGATTTCTGAAATAGCAAAAGTGTTGGTAATTGTATGATGGCCTAATGATATGTCATTCTTGATGGCTTGGCCACTTGGCTAGTTTCGGGTAAACTTTTATGGCAGATTTAGTTAAAATGTTGGGAAATATTAGAAAATGTGTTCTTTTGTGGAGAATTTACTAACTTCACTAGATAATTTCTATATTTCTTTTTAAATCCAGCTTTGCGTATTTGTAGATTGATTCACTTACTATTTAATTATGATTAATAATTTGTTGATTCAGAAATAATCTTAAGATGGCACTGTTTTGGCCGAAGATTATTACAAAGTATTTATTTATCTATATTAAGATATACTTATCTAAGTTTTATGTGTATTCAGGACGATAGCAGGATGAGAAATGGACTTGCAGAATCATTATCGAAGTGGCTTACCGAGTCGGCGTACAATTTGGCTATGTTTGAAGGGAGGCATGTTGTTGTTGTAGGAATTGTTGGAAAAGCTTCTAATGATTGTTCTAAGGCCGATCCAATCAATCACTTATTAGGGCGCCCAATTTTCATTCAGCCAATCGTTGCAGAAGGCAGTACTGCTTCGGTAAGCGATTAACTTCATATATATTCTGAAGGCAGGAAATTTCTCGTACAGTCTTATACTTTTTATAACTTATGAAAATTCTGCTTTCCAAATTTCCATTAGGTTTTCTTTTTTCGTTACATAACACGTATTTATTTGAATTTTCGCTCTAATTATGGTGATAAGCGTAGCAATTAGAGGACTGAAACAGCCATTCTTCTTCAGAAAAATGATGTACATAGCCACGTATGATACTATAGGGAGGCATGACGAAACATCTTGGCGATTCTCAGTCTAAGATTTTCCTGGATTAAATATTTGTTCCATTTTTGATATAAATAACATAGTTTTAGATCGAAGCTTACTATGAATCAGAATTGTCAGTTCTTTTTTTGCATCTTTCTGGTTATGGTGATTTATGCTCATTGGAACATTTCGTACGAAATAATGATAGCGACCAAACGGTAAAGATGTAGTGAATGGTCTTATGTTGCTGGTTGGGTTACAAAAAAACGTGTTTATTATATAGATGAATTTAGCAAGAAAACTGTGGTTTTATTGCTTCATTATTCAATTTTAATTTAGTGGAAAAATGCTCCACTGAAATATTTCCAGAATAAATTTGAAACTTTCTGAAAAACTATGTGAATTTATACTAGATACTTTTAATTTTATGTAACTTATTCAAAACTTACAACTAACTATTCGTTGATAGTGAATATGCACAGTTCATATTTTCTTAAATATTAAACTTATGAATTTCAGGATTTCTTCGAACTTCTTTCGCAGCAGGAAATCGACTATGCACGATGTCTGACCTTTCTCTTGCTTTATTCGCATCTGCTCATTTACATGGAACCAGGTTGTCGATTTGATCAGAATTGTTGCCGTGATTTGAAACGAGCTAATGAACTTCGACGGTTTTGTCAGAAAGAAATTCGGATAAAATTGTCAGCTGTTACGGGTTTCCCACAAGGATGGTCTGCTGAAGGACGCTTAGCTCAACCGCGGTGCCTGTTTGCTTTCCATCGTCATTTACTGAGGGGTGATTTAAATTCCAGTAGAAAGGTCAGTCTATTCCCGATTTTTCAACTTCATTTTTAATTTTTATTTATTGTTCCTAGTCACCGATTGTAGGCAGTTGCAGAAGTTGAATGTTTAAAATATCAGAAGTTTAAAATATCAATAAATGCGCGCTAATATTTAAATTTCACAGAAGTTCTGTTGAATTCAGAGAGAGCTGAAGAGCAAACTCGTGGAAAAATTAGAACAGCAAATATATCGTTGTATGCAAATATATGGACTTGTTGCGGCTGGTGATAGGTGAATAGTTTTTTCCAGTTATTCAACTGCCTTTTCATAAATCACATTTAGAAATTTCCGAGATGAAATGAGAATATAAAACAACTGTTCGAAAGAACTAGACAATCAAGCTTTGATATTTTTTTTTCTCAAAGAATGGGATTGTGACTTATTGTATAATATTTTTCCCGGCAAAAGTGAAATTTTTTATTTAGAAATTGCCCGTGTAGTTTACCGAAGTCTTCGGAACAATTTGTTTACTTATTTTCGGCAGCAGAATCATCTCATGATGTTATTCGTGGAAGTTTGTTGATGCTTATTGAACGAGGTAGCAGTAAAGAAGGCAATGACGGAAGTGAAAAAAGTGGTATTGATTTGTCAGTTTGTTTTGAATCTTCATATAAAAAATTGGATTTTATTTTCAAGAGACTGTATTATTTTCTCTATATTTCTGGAATTTTACTTCACTAATTCTGCACTTAATCTCCGGTAAAGGAAAGAGATAGATATTTCTAGTAGAAGTGAATACTATACGTATAAAAAGTAGTACTTTGGAAATAATTGTTCGAATTCCGACACTTACAACAAAGTGCCTCTACATTACTGCTAAGAAAACATTTATTTGCTTTGCATATTCTATGGTATCGGATAAGTAATTCATAGCTCTGTTTAACTAATGGTTTAAAACTGTTACGAATAATTCGTGAACATACGTTCTATTTCTTTTTTTTTTTTTTTGTCCCTAACTTTTTTACTGTCTCATTAACTTGATATCCTCATTTAATTAACTAAATTTCATATGGGAGAATATTTCAGAAAAAGAAGAGCGTAGTGATTTTGGTGAATTTCTGCGGTCTCACATCGATCTCGTGCGACAAGATGAAGAGAGAAGGAGATATCTTTATGAAGTTCTTTTTATAGAAATATTTTCATGGAAATTTTACTGTTTTAGCTACTTTTTCTCCATGATTAATAAGTTACATTCGCTGCTAGTTAAAAAAAAAACCATACTCTCCAGTTAATTTTTATTTTAAAATCTTTTTTTTAATAATTTTAACAGATACCTAAGCTGAAGTGGCTTTTGATTGGTGGACGAATCATTTATGATCAGTTATTCCGAACACGAATCTTTAGTGATGAGAAAATATACAGACTTAGTAGTCTTGAACTACAGTTTTCCAAAAGGTAAGATGACAGTTCTGTTTCTCAGAAAAGTCCGATTTAATTATTTATTTCTAAATCCAGAGCTGTTTTCACATGCTTTCCTAACATACTACGTTTCGACTCCTAAATTTAGAGACTTTTTGAATAAATTTGAACTAATAACATCGGAAGCTTGTAGCTTACATAAGCTGACATATTCTATTTCTTAATAGTAAAGATCCACCTTAAAACAGTGATTCCTTCACTTTTGCTTTCCATTTGGTAGTCCTCATCTATAAATATTAAATGAAAATTAATCATAAAATTTAGTGATAAAGATGCACAAGTCATATCATTATAAAATATCTTTAAGCGTGGAGAGTACGTACATTGGACAAGCTAAAGCAGTATATCAAAACGGTAACAAGGATACACGTGATTTTGAGAAACGAAAATCATTGGTTTTTACGAAAGCAGAGCATGAAGCTAAGGTTGGCTTTATTTTTTCTTTAAATATGATGTATTATGACGTCCATCTTCCTGAAGGTTTGGTCTTCATTTTGTGATGTTCAGGAAAAATCTTCTCTAGAGAGGGATTTCAAGATTTTTAGAAAAAAATTTAAAATCACTCATTGACTATGTTAATGAATGACTAACAGAATTTGTTAAAAAATGTTTGAGTAATTTAGTTGGCACGTGCAATGGAACATTTGGAATGTATTTATCATGGCACCACATTAGGAAAGGCTAAAGAAAAACTGAAACAGGAATGCGAAGCTCTTTGGGCTATTCAAAAAGCATGTGAATTTGTTTCCCTCACTGGGAATGAATGTGTTCTACCGGTAAGTTATTTGAGCGTTAACATGAGGGCAAAAATATTTGATATTTGAGCAAATGCCAAGACAAAATCTTCTATAGTAGCCGGTGTTATTTATGTCGTCATAGAAGGATTATTTCATAGATGGTCGAAAGTTTATATAAAATGTGTATAGTCTGTTGTCGTCTGGAAATGTGGAATACAGTGTTAGTAATTTCCTTAATGAAGAATTATCCTAAATAATATTTATGCTGCTGACTCTTAACTTCCATTTGATCGTTTTCACTGTTTGCAAGATAAAAGTATTTGGTCTATATTTGATTACTTAATTTTCGATTTGGATGCCAATTGGATGCCAATATGGAGTAAATTTTCAAAGCTCTTGGAGACAGATTTCACTTTTGAATAAATAATTTTGGTATTTTAGTCTGTAATACCTTGTAAAAAGGAAATTCTATATAATTTTTCAGGTTCATTATTCTCTATCGGATGTGGAAGTGCCAGCCACGAAACGAGTTCCTCACTCAAGTGGAGCCCGTTTCCTTTCTACATGTAATTGTGGCCATTCGCAGGCATTGCGGAATGATCCATTTTCATTATATGTTCGTTTTGTTTCTTTCTAATGTGTGTTTCATGTCTAGTTGATTTCAGTGAATTATGTACAATTCATTTGAATTGATGAAGTAAATATAATCGTAACTATAAACATTTATCCTCTTATGTATCTGTGATAATATAATGTTCAGAAATAGTGCACTGTTGCAGGAAGCCAACCATGTTTTCTACATTCAGTCGCAGTTTACATGTTGCAAAAATATGGAAGAATATGAATTTGAAGTTTTCAAATATGATGATATCAATGAAGCATCGTTAGATATAGAAAGTTTACCGGATAAATCACAAAAATCGATGACTTCTCCAGAACATAGTTTTTCCGAATCTTCATCAACATCGATAGGAGAAAGTAATCGGGCTTTTGTTTTTGTACTTTTCTCTTTTTATCTCTTTAGAAGTATTGCATTGGTAAAATGATTTTAAAGCACTGGTACATTATATCTGGTGCAGAACTCTTAGTAATTGTGTTATCCATTATTCTTATGTTCTGACAGAAGTGCTTATTAAGAAACTATGGTATTGAATTATTGCGAATCCAGAAGTTTTGTTTTGGTATTTGTATATCGATATATTTAGACGATTTGAAAATGCTTTTGGATCGTGATAATCCCTTGGAAGGTGATGAAGTACATCGTGAAAGTATACAGTCTCCTTTTAAAAGTAAAGGTTTCTTTGTTTTAGTTTGGTATACACATAAGTTTGCATCGGTATACTGTTAATTTCTTTTAAATATATGCTTTCTTTAACTGATGTATGAGGATTATAATTATGCAGTGATTTTAAGATTCCTATTGCTTTCTCGACTATCTTTTAAATTTTTTGTCACATTAAGATTTCTAATATTTCAGCAGTAGGTACAGATACTGATGATGTCGAGAAAGAATTAGAAGAAAAGAAAGTCTCTATATCGTCAGGAACGGAAAAATGTGGTGAAGAACAAACTCCTGAAGAAATGGAGAATAATGATGAAGAGGATGATGAGGAATACGTTAGGACGGAAGAGGTTGAGCAACCATTTTTAGGAATGCGGCGTCATCGAGCGGTGAATTCAAATTCCTTGCACCTTTGAGTAAAGACTAGTTCACAAGTAAAAAGTCTGCTGAATTCAAGAAAAACTGATACCGTATACCATATTGATCATTATGACTATATTTTTAAGTGCAAATGATTATAGCACATGGATGATTACGAATCGTGGTCGCAGGAAGATGAAGAGGATATTCCGGAAACTGAAGCACAAGTTTCATATCTTGATGATGATGATGTGCAATTACGAGAACCGGACATAGATAACCCTGATAAGTTAGATAACTCCGCTATGAATTTTGAAGAGGAATTAGCAAAGCTAAGAAAATTATGCAAAGGTATGAATTTGCTATTTTTCTTTGCATCCAGTTCGTTATAAGCTTTTCTGTTCAAAAACTGGTTTATGGGCTTGTTTGGAAGTATTGCAGCCATAGTAACTTCTCCTATCCCTGATGTAGCTATCATTCGTGTTCTTTTTCTTTTTTTTTTTTTTAAATTCCGCAGTTTCTTACGTAGTTGAAGTGTTGTTTTTTCTGAAGAATTTATTCTAGGTCAATTTTTGGAATGTGTTCCGAATACAGAATCACCATCTAGAAGACCTCTTTTCCCCTCATGGTCACTTTTATGTCTGGGTGCATCAAGTTTGTACAGGTTTCTTTTACGTACTATTAATTCAATCGAATCAGGCTTTCAGTGTGGTGTAGTGGTTGATTAATGTTTGCTTAATCTAGTTGACTTAATCACAATTAATGAAGTTTGATTAGTTTAGTCATAAGGCTGGCCTTCGCGATATGCCAAACTTCAAAAATGGGACGCAGTTTCTCTTACCGGTCGATGTTTTTGTTACAGTCGATCCTGAGAAATGGGATATTGATATGAAAGAAATTATGGGCGATACATATGGTGTGAGATCGAAGCGTCTTATCAAAGTGAACAAGAGTAATCGTGAAAAAGTGAAAGTACTATATTTATTTGCAGAATTAAAAATTAAATGATTTTCAATGATATCAGAATGTTGATTCAAGTTTTTGCTGCTAGTAAAAATCAGAAATCCAAGTTTTAGATTTATTCAAAATTAACCTTAACCGTGTTTTTCATCATTTCTCAAGTAGTAATCAAATTGCTTAGAGCTTCTTGAATAAATTCTTCACTGATCGGTAATCTTTATACAATATACAATCCGTTTTAACTATCTCCTTAAATCATGGAGACCAAATTTCTTGAACATTTTTCGAATCATCGTAAGATGGAACAGCAAATCTTTCGAACCATAGACTATGTTTTAGTTTATCTGTTTTTTAGTTGTTTGTTGGATTTGAATATGAATGCCCAAGAGGACATCGATTTATGATTCAGGATATGCATGCCAACACTGGAGTGAAAGCAGCATTGAATTCAAAAGTGTCTTTTACATTTACACTAAAACGTGAATTACCCTTTTTATCGGAAGAGAGTTGTAGCTAAGTCCTATCATTGTCACTTTAATATTTATTATTTAGTATAGATTGCAGTAATTTGCAGTATAAATTTTAAGTAAGTGATCTGTGAGGTCGATGAGTTTGGTTATACAAATCCGAGTAATTATAACTGAGTATAGTGATTAGAACAGCACTCTTTTAGAATCTTCTCCAGTAAAAGAAAAACTTAGTATGATTATCAATATATAATTTCCTCATCCTTTTCTTTGTTGCTTAATTACAGTAATGAAATTGAATCCTATATTTTAAAAAAGTTGAGTGAACTTAGTATGATTCTTCAGGAATCGGGGTCAACTTTGATTCGTTCAGATTTACCACTGTGGACAAAATGTACATGTCGTCGATTGCCGCAAGTAAGTGCTCAGTTGATGCGACTTCACGTCGTTACTCCTAAAGCTCCGGTTACTGTTGTCTTGAATCCTCGTGTTCAGGTCCATTTTTCTTTATAATTTTTATTAATAAATGAGAAGACTTTCGGTAGTAATTTTATTACAGTTTATAAAAATATATTTCTGATGTCTAATACACTTGGTTTAATTGTTAAATTGAATATTTTTAGCCAACATCAAAAGAGCCAATATACCATACAGGAGAAGCACCCATACATCTGGAATGGGCACGTTATTATATTTTACGGTTCCCTTATGTTTATGCTGGACCACATGGAACTGTTCAACGACCCAGTGAGACCGCCATGTCAGGCAAATTGCTGGCAAATTGTGTTGAAGTACAATACATACCGATGCATTAATCTTGTAGCTTTCTTGTATTCGTTCTTTTTACCCTGTTTTTTTTTTTTTTTTTTTCATTTTCCTGAGGATTTTCCTAAGGAATTGAATAAAATTGAGGAAAGGTTTTTCTGGAGGATTTTTGTATGGGCATGGAAAATCTGTTTATCATACATGCTGAGATTTTCAAGTTTTTTGTTGAAGATAAAGTTGCATTTAGAAGCAGAAGTACTTTCTGTGCAACATTTCTTGATATGTCAGTACTTCATTATGTTTATGGCATATTATAACTTCACTTCACAAAAATTTTTTCGATTCTTTTATTTGCTTGCTTTATTTGTTTGATTTGAAAAAGTGAAAAAAAGAGAATGAAGTAGTGCAGGAGAAAAGCTTGGAAATCAAAGATTGAAAACTTGCACTTTTAACTTGTTTTTATTGTGGAATTGTGGTGTTGGAGTTGTGAGCCAGGATAGTTTGACAGCAGAATGTTGAAATTTTTCAGTCCTAAATATCCTGCAATTTCGAATTTCTTCAAAACAGTATTCCACTTTCTTTGGAGCGATGTGTAAACATTATATGAATTTCGGTTCAAATGTAATATATGTTCATGGACAGACATGTTTAAAATATTAATAAACGAGTTATAAATTTTGAAAATCTTTCTTGCTTATCATTGAAGGATAATACGGTGCAAATTAATTGACTTTACTGGAACTTGAAATACTTTTTTATATCATTATCATACTACAGTTTCAAGACTGGTCACAGAAAAATAATGCATAACTAATTTTTAAACAGTCAGATTAATTGCTTACTCAGAATGGTCATCAGTAGGTTAAGAGTTTTTTCTTAAGATTAGATGGGAATATTTTCAAAATCCTTTGCAGAATACTTCGCATTGACTTTATACAAAAGGTTTTTTTAAGTTTTCAGAAATATTCGATAATGAGAGAAAATAGAGCACGTGTTGACCTCGTTGATTTCCTTATATAATCAGTTCTTGTAGCTTTTTTCCCTTCCGGTGTTATCAAAATTTTCTTCCTTTTTACTCACTTTTTTAAAATCGGTGTCAATATTTAAAATAAGATTAAAAAAAATTTTATGTATATTTGAAGTGGAAAGGATCTATGCTTTTTTGGTTGAAGTGCTTTGCATGCTTTGTCTTACACCTGCAGTTTCTAAATGCAGCAAAAGTACTTTCCACACATTTAAAGCTCTTAGAAAATCTTTTTTTAAAGAGTTTCAATTAAAGATTTAGGAGTAGGCTCAGATATGTCGATTCATATATGCGAAGAAAAAGTAGATGGTTTGCTGAAATGGTGAAAAAATCTTAAAAGTATTAAACGATGTAATTAAGGCAGAAGATTGACTTTTATCAGTTAGGAAATAAGGGGAAGAGAAAACCTAGAAATATCTTCATAAAGTGCTTAGCATAAGAAATTCTCATCCATATATACTTTAGTACTAGCAAATAATTCATGTAATAAATATCCTTATATATAAATTTCCACCTAAATGAAAAATTTAGTCGTGAGAAGATTCTTTGGTTTGACGAGATAATTATCACTTTTTTGATCTGGCTAACCTGACTTGCTAAGAATTTCCTCGTTCGTAAATTTTCGAGATAATAAGATCAAATTACCTTTTTGTCAATAGTCATCAATTCGTAGTATATATGCCTAAATACATACGTTATTTACTGTCAGTTGTTATTATGGAGATCGTGTGGTATCGAAATATTAATTACAGTTTCCAATGGCAATTCATTGAAGACAATCTCAGTTTGGCTTAAAGTATCATTAATTAATTTATTGAGCAGTATTTGTAAAGGGATTTTCAATACAATTTCAAATAATCCAGTTAATTCATAGTCTTGAAATTACATTATTATATGCGATAGGCATATTAGATTACAGCAGATTAATTCTGAAGTTTTATAGCTTGTAATAATGAAGTAGTGAAAAAAAGTCTTTGAAATTCTTGGATTATTCTGTGTCGTTCTACTCGGCACTGCATTTTAACAATATTTTAATAAAATTGCATATGCGAATTTGGAGTGTTATTGCAAATATAATCACAAATTAATGCATACTAGTATTATGAACTGGAGTTGATGATAGAAGCACCAACAAGAGTCGCTGTAGTGGTAATTAGAAATGTAGCACTTGCAATGATGCATGCAAATTGAGTCACCGTTAAGCAATATCGCAACGATTTACCGGATAATGAGGGATTTAAAATTATTTGCTCTGATCCTACTCCTGTAAATAATTTTAAAATCAGAAACAGTGAACACGACTAACAAATTAGTATAAATTTCTATCATGAACAGATATCACACATTTGCTAGCATTATTTCTTAAATATACACTATACTTGATTAATAAAGAAAGTTTGATGGAATATAGAAATCTTCGCAGTATTTTGTTCCTTCATTAATTCTTAATTGCACAATTAAAAATTATACTTTGCGATCTGACAAAAAACTAACTTCACTGATCACTGCTTTTTGAGTTCCAAAAAAAAAAAAAAAAAACTATCTGAGCAAATGAAACATTTAAGGCATAAATTATCAGTGTATCCGCTCAGAGTTTTATTATTCTTGCAGTAAACACTTATGAGTGTATTAAGTGGACTGTCTTCGTGACAAACATAAAATCAAACCTTATCCATGACTGTTTTATAGGAAATAATTGGAATTGAGGCAAATTCACATCAACTTTGTGCTGTGTGGAGATTTTTCTAACCAGAAATTTGCTGAGATCAGCGTAGTCAGATTAATTAAGGAGATCATAGACTATACCTTGATCATCATCATCCAGGTCGATGATATTAATCCTTGGTGTTCGAAGAATCAAACTTTCTCTGCTAATATTGGATAACTCGCGACGTCTTCGTTTATTATTAGCGCATTTTGGTGGCTAAAAAATGAATAACAATTCATCAAATAAGAACGTGATTAAACTATTTCATGTGAGGAAAGGAATAACAATTCATTTCATTGTTGAATATCAATTTCAACTTATTTAATTAAGTTCCCAAAATATCGATCAGTTAAAAGCATATATGCTTTTGACATATCTGTTACTTTCGACATATCAATTTTGATATATTTAATATTTAACGTATCTGTCCTAGAATTAACGATGCACTAGTAAATTTTAATGCGAAGCTTTATGGTTAGAAAATTATCCGAACTTTGATAACTTCTAGTCCAATCCCAACTATGATAAATTAACAATTTTGCCGAAAATTAATTACTGGAACTTAATTTTTACCGGAAATTGAAATAAAACGAAGGAAGAAGCAACGGGATGAAAAAAAAAGGGATGAAAAATCAAAAAAAGAAAAAGGAAAAGTCTTTCTAATCAAATAAAACTTTGAATTAATCTTGCATTTTTAAATCCAAGTTGAAGTTTTTCGAGTGACAATTATTGTTTTCCAGAATACTGCCCAAGCTAAACTTTCCTAAATGCTTTGATTTTTTATTTATTTAATCGTAAAAGTTAGAGTTTATATTATTTGCATTCTTTCTTTGAAGTTTTCTGCAGAATTTAATCCATTAGCATAATAAGAACTCAATTTAAATTCAAAGCTGTGACAATTCCAGATAAAATAAGATGGCTACATTATTGGGACAAGTTGTGGGAATAATCATATTATTCTACCAAATTATAGATTGAAACTTATGCAAAGTTTTTAGCAATGGATTCATTATTCTTGAATCAATCCATTTTCGAGAATTTCAGACAGCGAAATTCATTCTTCTTCCTTTGATTATCATAACAACTAATTACAATTAATCATTAGGGCTTTCTTCAAGGTATATCAACTTTTATGACAAACTGAATTCATTTAAACTGAGCTCAATATTTAACAAACTCATTTCTACTCAAAATTAAACTAGACTCATTTAATTTATATCATTTAAATTACATTATATTTAAACAAACACGCTATTAATATAAAATTAAAGTTGTGTAAAGCTGGCATACAAATAATATAAATTTCCTTAATAACAATCAAAATTAATTAGGATAATAAATTGTTAGTGAAGTTTATAAAATAAAAACTTATCGTAATCAGTTCGCAATCTTGTTGGCCTCGCAGACAAATCAGAACATCACATCGGAAACCAATATCGGAACGATCAGGAAATTTGAAAACAGGTGCTTGTACTTTCACTGACAGTAAGTCTGATGCATATTCTAGATTCGGTAAAATATAAGGATCCAATGTACATCTCAAAATATAACTTTGTTCAACAAAATCAAATATACTTGAATTAGTTACTTGAAAATAGCAATAAATGGAAATGAACTAATATCATTGCCTAATGCATTGGTTTGCTACTTAAGTTAATATAATTATGGCATTTAATTAAGAAGAGAGTCAGAAGGTACTGATTCATAAATTGAAGAATTTTTACAGTTATTGAAATAATATGATAAATGATTTTACTTTTTATGCATATTAAACAAAAAGAAATCAGAAAAAAAAATGTTTAATAGAAAAAATGATAACTATCACAAATTAAATGCAAATTAACAAACGAACCCGTTATCATCAATAACAGAAACTTTAAAGTTGTCATTTGATTCTGCATAACAGTTCCTTACCAGCATTGCATGAACACCTGAAATTTTTTGTTTAATTCAAGCAAAAAAATGAGTAAATGGAAATTTCAAGTTCATTCAGAAATATTCTATAGAATAGTTCCTGTGCAAATTGTAAATGATAGTCTGAAATAGACTTGAAGATTAATCACAGTAAATTCATAAATAGTTCCAATATTGCAGGGAATTTTATAAGAACACATTTAATTTATTTTCTTTGAAAAAGTCTTAGTCATCTGTAAGCATATTTAAGACCTGATCAATTCAAAATATAGATAATTTCAATTAAAAATTTTTCAATAACCTTTGAAGGGACTCTGACAAATCCATTTATGCTCGATGAGTTCACCAACCCGAGCATTCGTGATTACTTTGCCAGAAGAACTTTTAACCTGATAAATACATTG